AGTAGCTCGTACAGTAATCAGGTCTTGTGTGACTTTTCAAATAAATATATTGATCTGTCGTGTTACTCTAGCAACAACCTCAGGAAATAACGGAGGTGAAAGGGGGCAAACACAGCTACAGGCAATGAATCAAAACACGAGAAACACTTACCATGGACGCGATGCGTTCTCGTGCAGTCTTGCGTGACCGCGTCGACCTAGAATTGATGGATGGCGCCTGAGTCGGCATTCTCCGAGTGGGTTGCACAACAGTTATCCGGCTTGAATCCGCGCCCATCCGGATTGAACGGATTGGCGACCCATCAGGCCGGATCGGATTCTATCCGGATAGAATCCGAATCCGCGGCAACACTAACAAGTTCGTTCGAACCAGCCCGAGCGCAAGCGGAAGGTGCCGCACTCTTAGAGCTCCGCGTCAAAGTGAGGCGACCACGATACGATGAGCTTGCCAAAGCCCTTCACCCGACCCGTTCCCTGTCCCGTTCTGCTCGACTGTCTAAGCCGTACATGCGCACTAAATATCGGGAAAGAGTACTCGCCTATCGGACTGCCAACAAGAAGCACCAAGTGAAAACGTACCAGCAAGAAAGCTTGACGTCACCCTAGGTCGTCTTACGAGGACCGGAATCGCCATCTCAGGCCATAAGGTATCGCCCACCACTACTCTCCCCATGACACGTCTATGCGCTTTCGTTCAGCCCCTAGAGCGCGAATCAGTCCGCGACAAGGGTCTCTCTCCTGTCATTGCAGGCGACCGCATCCTGGACGCCCTCTTCTGACTTGCCTGTCGAGATCAACAGTCTGGCACCTCCCAGTGTCCCTTGGTGGCCGGTTTTGGGGGTAGTCTGGTTCTTTGTGAGCACAGGTCCTAGATGCAGCTCCTAGCCACCCTAGAGGTGCAGCTTGCCACCTACATCTGCCCGTCCTGTTCCAGGTACGGCTCGGAGACGTCGACGGATACTATCAGTTACGCAGGAGGTAGATGAGGCTGGGGAAACGAGATGTTCGAGTGGTATCCGCGGCACGCTGCACTGAGGTCGCACAGGACAAGCAGAAGATCTTGAATCTGAGGCGCCTGTTACGATTGGCGTATGGGCAGGATATCCCGTAGTCTTGTTCGTTATCCGAGCAGTGCCTGCTCGTGAATTCGTGCAATTGCACAAGGCGCATAGAAATCTTGTATTCGCTGAGAGTGCGGTCGCCTTTATTAGCCTACCGCCACTCGCCTCCTCGTTGCCATGCACAGAGACGGCCAGACCTCTCGCACGAATATTACAGCCTCAAGCAGTCGCTCAACATTCAGATAGAGTCTGCCGCAAACGAGTTGAGTTGAGCTATATAAAGGTTGCGTGGGAATTGCGCTACAATTATTGACTTTTCAGTCGTCAGAGCTCTTGCAGCATTTATCGCCCCCTTCAAGCGTGCCTCCATCATATTAGCATCGAGATGGTGTTAGCGCGAGCTTGATGCACTGGGGGGGGGGGACAAAGGTAGCACGTATCAAGGCTTATATCACTATATGTGCACGTTCATTTCGCCTTCGTGTCAGGCTTTGGGACCAACGAGCTTTGGCAACTCAGAGCATCGGCCAAACATGAAGTTGGCTCCTCTCGCGGGGACTCATCTCGCCTCAATGCGACGAATGGCTCCACTCAAACGTCCCTTGCTCCCTGCCGGTCGGATCGTAGAAGGTTATGTTCCGTCCTGATCCGACGGAGTACGCATCAACCCTGACTAGGCCTGACTGATAGCAGGCATCTGCTGATCAGTAGCAAGCGGCTAGCGGATGAATATATGCGGGTGCCTGGTCTAAAATGACGGTCCAAGAGGACTACAAATCCGAAGCGGCTCCGGAAATTGCGAGTCTCGCAGGTACAACTGTACGAGAAGCGATACAATGTCCTTGAATCCTCGATTTGATCTGATTTTCCCTCCCGACTAAAGCGCCATCTGCCATAGCCTTATAGTTAAGGGTGGAGCTTACGCGATATAGAGCTTTTGTTCCTATCGGATTTAGGTTGGCGCAAATGACAACGTGCTTAGCATCCGAGGGCTATGCATGCTGGACCGGCCGCAGACGGAGCTCTCAAGATAGACAAGGGCCAATCACCCGCAAATGACGGACTTCACCCGTGCATCACTTGTGCGTCTTGGAACTTTATTGAAACTGATGGCAAATATCGCAGGCATCGCGCTCGCATACTGTAAAATCCGGCCTAGAGTCCCTACATCTGGGAAAGAATCCTCACATAACAGGCGGGGCCCGTCCCCGTCGCGACATAGCATGCTGCCAACGTGACCTTACAGAGGGCGTTAGCTTCTACTTTCCCCAGAATGTTCTCATTGAACGTACCCGTTTGCGCGCGAATGGCTTTAAAGTTTCAAGACACCATTGAATAGGACTGGGTGAATAATAGACGTGGGGCGATGCATGGTGCGACGGTGAACGGCAAGCAATGGTAACTCCACCGCCGCCACTCCATGGCGTCCTGGACCAAGATGAAGACCGTCCAGCGAGTCAGAAGTGTTTGTGCAGCTCGATAAACCGGGGGAGCGGCTAAGACAGTGGACTGCTGAGCGTGCATATTAGTATTTGACGCTACTAGTAGTAGTCTCGTGGCTTTATGCGCACAGTGAGTGGCACTGAAAAAACATTTGGGCGCTGGAGGTGCCATAGACTAGAAGATATGCCTTAGCTTGCCTTGGGCGTTGTTGGACCTGTCTTATAGGTGTTTACCAACACCATCAAGGCACTCAAGGCATGTCTGTCCGAGCACAGAGCACACAAGCGACGCCAAGACCCTTTGGACACTTTCCTGATGCCTCATGCCAGTAATGCTATCATGTTGAGCACGCACTGGAGAGCATTTCGCTCACGCGGATCTTGCTCCTGAGTTCAGGGATTTACATTTGATTTCAATCTAGAAAAATCCGGAGGCAAGTGGATATCGAGAGCGGACGAGCCGAGCTGGCGAAGGACTCGGCGCACAAGTTGGTCGCGTGACCATCACACGGTGACTGGCGCTCGCGTTGTGGCACATCTCTCGCCCGAATACCTGTCTGCACGTCCGCCGAAGGCTCGATGAACATGAAACGCAGAAAATAGCGGAAGCAATATTACGGAGATGGCCAGGTGTGCGAGGCTCGGCATCTCAAGGCGCGCTGTTCTAACCAAACCTGAACCTCGGAAGGAACGTTGCTCCTCGAGCATAGCGTGTATGCGAGATCTGGTTAATGTCCAAAGTCCAGATGACAGAGAGGAGCAGGGGGATGCGGCAGTAACGCATCATCAGCTATAGCTAACTAAGGAGGGAGGGAAAAAGAAAGAGGATAATCGATGCATTCTACATGCATCATGCAACCAAGTAAAAGGCTGTCCGTTCCTGTTCAAATCAAGTCCCCATTTGAATGAAGCTCGTATCCACGGCTGCCTAACAAATCAGAGGGCGTCACTTAGACGCTACACTGTCGAAGAATGTCCTGCGGGATGTCGAACTCCGCCGACTTGGACGGTAAACTGTTAAACTGCATCAACAGACCGGCGGCCATGTGCCAGGCGATGTCTAACGAAGGCGATCAGCATATGCGAAGACAAGTAATCGCGGAAGGACGTACGGCAATGGACAGTCCAGATTCCAGCTGGGGAGGTGTAGGTGAGCTGTCGCACGTCCTTCCAAGAAGCAGAACTCACGATTGTCTGTAACAAAACGTACGAGGAGCCATCCGCTGCTGGGAACGATATATGTGTCTCGACTAAGCCAGAGAATAATCCCGTCAGCACTGGACGGCGAGGCATCAGACGCGTAAAACGCTCACGTTATGGGGTTCACGGTATTGAGCCCGGTGCCGTTGTACTTGCCCGTACCGGAACCCATGCTGGAATCGCCGATATCAGTGACGTAAGTCGAATCCCAGAGGCTAAGGGACGCACATGTACGGGGTATGACCATGAAGGTGAAACGAATGGTCTCCGGGGCCTTCGTTCACCTGTTCAAGAACATCACCTCAGTCATGACAAGGGCGCTTCACAAAATCGCTTACCAATAGCAGGTCCACGACTTCGATGGAGTCTTCGGTGATAATATACTGATTGTGCAGCTGCACGCTGTGACCTGCAGGGGCATAGAACGAGCCGTTCTTTGCGGCACCCACAACTTGCATCAACGTCGACGTGCTCACAAGCGGCTGCCAGCTCTGTCTCGCGCGTCAGCGTCCGCAAACTTGGAAGCCAGTCAGTAGTCTACACACTACGCCGTTAATGAAAGAGATCGTTCCATTGCTGCTAGTCACATTGATGCTGAAGCTGAGAGTGTGGAACCTTGCGAAGCGGCGATCAGCGAGCGTACACGCGTCGCGGGTCGAGCAACGTACCTGGTAGCAGTCGGCGGCGTCAAAACGACAGCGGGGGCGAGCTTCGAGACATCGAGGGCGGAGAGGTCAAAGTTCGGCACGCCAGGATCTGCCGCGGTGGTCGGATTCTTGGTACTGCTGCCATACCTGACGACCCCACGGACCTCGGTGTTAGTACCCGGGACCTTGATCACGCTGTCGAGCCCGGCGCGGATCCAGTAGTTGCCCTGGGGCTCAGCCGTCTGGTCCGTAGTGATTAGCACCGAGTAGCGCTGCGCGACGCTCAGTGTGAGGTTCGAGACGGTGTAGGGCTCCGTGAGTGTGCTGTCGGCCTCGATGACGGTCAGAGCATGGTAGTCGATGGAGAAGCTGATCTCCGTGGCGGAGCCGGTGTGGATTAAGCGCAGGCGGTATCTATGAGACGTAGTATTTTCAGCGGAACCAGATACCACCATGGAAGCTGTGGAACGTACGTCTTGTTAGGCTGCAGATTGAACTAGTAGGGGTACAGTCAGATCAAGAGAGGATAAAATGAGCGATGAAGGTGATCACGTCGTGATGTTTTTTGCTACTATCATACTGGCCAACTCCGTTGATCGCCTAGCAGAATTTGTTAGGATATATATCAGGATTAAAAGCTGATAGATGGCTTACCCCGCTATCCGGAATTTCGAGAGCAAGTCCCTGCAGCTTGTTGCCTTTGCCCTATGTCAGGTAAGCGACAACAATGATTACATGTACGGGACACAACGTACTGTGAGATACGCGGAGGCAATATCGCTGCTGAACGTGTGGTATACATCAGTCAGCTCGACGACAATATCTTCGTCCCAGGTGGGGAAGTTGGAAGGGTAGGACGACGGATGGACGATGAACGCGCCTGTGGCACCATCCGTGTACTGCGTGTCGTCTATATGAAAAGTTCTCGTAAGGAATGCCAAATAGGTACGATGAAGTACTCACAGTCTATCCGTAAACGTTGGGGATGTTGCGTCATTAGAATGAAGGAAAGAAGAGTAACTCAGGAGACGCACGGGCACTGAAGGATCATATATCAACCGTTAGACCTAAACGCAAAAAGCGTGACGGACTCACTGCCACCAAGTAGTTCCTGAGAAGTCCGCAACCGAGAAGCTAGAAATGACGCGGGCGTCAGAGAAGGCGGCGCAGAGCAATAAATTATTTACTTGTAGGTAAGGAACTCGCCCGGTGGGATGCCGCATTCTGTAACAGACGCTGTGCCGTCGTAGTAGTTGGTGCCATTTTGGTACTGAGATGGTACGCATATTAGTCAAAAGAGACACCAGTAGAGGAGTCAAAGAAATCTACCAAGCCATGCCAGTGAATCGTTCTTCGGAGGACAGGCGTGTAAACGGATGCGCCGTTCAAAGTAGAGAGGGGTATGACTCACGTCCTGGTTGAGAGATAGTTGGTAACATTCACAACAATGCGGTCTCCTTGGTTGGCCTCGATGGTCGGACCAGGGTACAGTCCTGAAACTATATCAGCCGTCCACTCCACTGGGGTCATGACTTCCACTAACCGTTGACGACGAGCATGCTCTTCGTGAAACCATCCGGCGCGCCGTCCATTTGGGAGACGACGAAGTCAAAGTACCTCGTCCTCGGGGGCTCGCCAATGATGCTACCGACGACGAAATTGTCGATACTCGGTACCGAAACGGTGCCGCCACGACGGGAAAGCGCAGAGGAAGCAAGATAGTGAGGCAGGCCTCGGGTCTCTGCTCTGGCGACAAGAGAAGAAACCACGAAGGCAAGGGTAAGCGGGAGGTAAAAGGCAGCGGGGTACATGTTGAGTGCACGATGGGGACAGTCAACCTGGCAACTCTCCGCCGACCATGACCTATTGACCGCCATCGCCTAGGGGGATATATGATCCGCCAAATATCTGGTGCAAGGCCATAGGAGCCGGCAGCCTGGAAGTGTGGTCTTGGGTGTCGTAATATTACATACTTTTGGCGGGAGTGCAACGCCGGCGTGTAAGGTTTGCAGCTTTTGGATCCCACGGGTGGGATTCGTTCCAGCTGTACTCGATAAACACTGGCCCTAACGACCATAGTTCGAAGTGTGATTTGAGTTATGCCTGTATGTGTACGTTAGCTTGCACAATCACGTCTGCACGCGTATGCCTCCCCGGGGAAGCATGCAAACCACGAATGCTAATGACCTCTCCTTTTTGCTTCCGAATCAACCCCTTCTCCTGGCGGGACTTCGGGAGATCATTTGGGAGGCCTAAAGCTCCTCTTCAGCTCCTTTTCGCCAGAGAAAGCGAAATTCAGAAAGGGAAGAGGGGATAAACAAGATCCGAAAAGGAGCACTTCAGGCCCTTGAGCGATCCTATTACCATCTATACTGGCCTAGGTCCCGACGGTGCGTCAGAGCAAATATTTTGAACGAGAAAGACGAAGAAGGGGGATAATGAAGCGTACATGAATCAGCTGCTGGAAACCAGTAGC